ATTTTACCGTTTATGTATTAAAATATGTCATAGTAAATTTATTTTATTAGTAATACAGTATAGTATAGTGAGTTTTTGATGAAATGAAGTTTTNTCATTTCAACACTGTTTATTCTTCAATGATTAAATTAACACAACTAGAGATTAAATAATTTAAGTACACACAAGATATTGAAACGCTACACGATACAAGTATTATAAAATTGACATTAATTATTAGTGATGATGCCACGTTAAAAATAGTTATTTAAGATCTTCATTTACACTTCTGCATAAATTTGAATTCCATTTAAAATTGTTTACAGCGATTTCCTATCTTGCNTCATTTCAACACTGTTTATTCTTCAATGATTAAATTAACACAACTAGAGATTAAATAATTTAAGTACACACAAGATATTGAAACGCTACACGATACAAGTATTATAAAATTGACATTAATTATTAGTGATGATGCCACGTTAAAAATAGTTATTTAAGATCTTCATTTACACTTCTGCATAAATTTGAATTCCATTTAAAATTGTTTACAGCGATTTCCTATCTTGCCTTATGAATACTGGAACAAGTTTCAAGCAACTCAGATCCAAACTAATATAATGATACAGAATGAAAAAGAAACTATTACCTTTATCACTTGTATGTGAAAATAACCGGTACGACGAAAATTGTCTCTTTTTATCAAGGGAATAATGAATGCAAACAAAAGCATTCGGAACTGATTAAAACGTTTCACATTATTATCTAGACGCCAGGGAATCTCGATTAATCATCTTGCTCACACTGAATCTTCTTGCTGAACTGACACTGAACGGTAGCTACATCACAATGACATTTTTACTTAGCGCGCACATAGTATACAACATCATGTTGATTTCGCATATGCATATCTCATCTAGTCTCTAGTCCTTCAATTGCAAATGTAACAAATATGTACATACATACTTCTACGTCTGACCTTCGCCCGTATTCGGTTATGCTTTCTAGAGGGCAGTACATACTGCTAAATGCAAGGCGCTCTTCAAAATTACGTGTTGACGCGTTGAACGCTAGGCGTAGATATAGAATATTCTACGGGTGGTGTAGATTTTATTCTCATTTTTTTTTTGTTTACTTCAATTACACTTCGGTAGAAAAGCAGTTTCCTAATATTTTCGAAAATATGAATGTTATGGAAACGCAGAGAAAACTTGCAAAAAGTCATAACCCCGAGATTTAACTTTTAATGGACAAGCAATTTACAGATATATGTATATCCTAAGATAGCATTTTATTTTAAAATAACTCGATAAAATCTTCGCCCTTTAGAGTTATTTAGAGCTATTTACCTTAAACTTTCTTTAATGAATGACAACAATTACAGTTTACGTAATTATAATTGCAGAAATCTGAAGACTTCAGTTTTGTTGTTCAGATACATTTTCAAATTTTTATAATTGTTCAATATAAACGTACAATAACACGTAACTGATATAACCTTAATTGCAAGTGTAGGATCCCTCTTTGTTTACTATACTATTTACTATTATTATATGATCAACAATTAAATAAAAATAATATTGTGTGTTTCATAACAGTATCATTATTTTAGTATCAAAAAGAGTGTAAAGTTCAAGGTTGTATAGGAATGGTTACTTTGAAAAAATTAATAAGTTA